TTAGCATTGGCACATCTCATTACCATGGGGATTATTTGGCCCTGCCCCCTCAGTCAAGGTCTATTGACTTTGAAACTTTACATAGTTTACATGTATTCGTTTGTGATTAGGTCCATTTATGGGGAACCACTAGTGGTAGGTCAATGATATTTGGTATACAGTTGTATAAGCATTGGCATATCTCATTTCCATGGAGAATTTTTGGCTCCGCCCCCTTAGTCATGGTCTATAGACTTTGAAAATTTTGCTAAGTTAACATGTATTAGTTTGTGATTAGGTCAGTTCAAGGGGAACCATTAGTGGTAGGCCAATGTTAACTGGTGTTCAGTTATATAAGCATTAGCACATCTAATTTCCATGGAGAATATTTGGCCCCGCCCCCTCAGTCATGGTTTCCATGGAAATTATATAGCCCCACCCCTGATCATGGTTCATTGACTTTGAAACTTTTACATAGTTTACAAGTTAATGTTTGTGTTTAGGTTTGTTTAAAGGGAACGACTTATAATAAGTCAATGGTATTTGGTATGCAGTTGTATTAGCATTGGCACATCTCATTCCATGGAGATTGTTTAGCCATGTACCTTCAGTCATGGTTCATAGACTTTGAATATTTGCATAACTTACATGTTAAAGTATTGCTATTTTAATTTCAACATTTGCATTATCAAAATTACAATAAAATGCTCCGCTGGGGCGCAGCTTGATACGACCACAGAGGTCGAACCCTGAACAGTTGGGGCAAGTATGGACACAACATTCAAGTTTGATACAGCACTGAATTTGGATTGTAATTAAATATTTGACACAGCATAGGTTTCTCACACAGAATGAAAGTGGTCTAAGAACTTAAAAAATTTTAATTAACCTATTTTTTGAACCCCCTTATGATTCATCACCCCCAAACTCAATCCCAGCTTTCCCTTTGTGGTATGGTACCTTGCAGTACAATTTCAGAGAGATCCATACACTTGAACACAAGTTATTGTCTGGAAACTAGAAAAATGCTTGTTTTTTGGCCCCTTTTTGGCCCCAAATTCCTAAACATTTGGGGCGATTACCCCCAAACTCAAACCCAGCTTTCTCTTTGTGATATGGAACCTTGCAGTACAATTTCATAAAGATCCATACACTTGCACACAAGTTATTGTCCTGAAACTAGAGAAATGCTTGTTTTTTTGCCCTTTTATGGCCCCTAATTACTAAAATTTTGAGGGAATTACCCCGTAAATCAATCCCAGCCTTTCCTTTGTGGTATGGTACCTTGCAGTACAATTTCAGAGAGATCCATACATTTGAACACAAGTTATTGTCTGGAAACTAGAAAAATGCTTATTTTTGGCCCCTTTTTGGCCCCTTATTCCTAAACTTTTTGGGCAATTACCCCCAAACTCAATTCCAGCTTTTCCTTTGTGATATGGAACCTTGTAGTACAATTTCATAAAGATCCATACACTTACACACAAGTTATTGTCATGAAACTAGAAAAATGCTTGTTTTTTTCCCCTTTTTGGCCCCTAATTCCTAAAATTTGGAGGCAATTACCCCCAAAATCAATCCCAGCATTCCCATTGTGATATGGAACCTTGTGATACAATGTCAGAGAGATCCATACACTTACACACAAGTTATTGTCATGAAACTAGAAAAATGCTTGTTTTTTGCCCCTTTTTGGCCCCTAATTCCTAAAATTTGGACACAATTACCCCCAAAATCAATCCCAGCATTCCCTTTGTGATATGGAACCTTGTGGTACAATGTCAGAGAGATCCATACACTTACACACAAGTTATGTCTGGAAGTTACAAAAATGCTTATTTTTTGCCCCTTTTTGGCCCCTAATTCCTAAACTGTGGGTACCATAACCCCCAAAATCAATCCCCACCTTTCTTTTGTGGTATTGAACCTTATGGTAAAATTTCATTGAGATCCATTCACTTAAACTAAAGTTAGAGTGCGAAAACTAATGTGTCTTCAGACAACGACGACGTCGACGCCAACGTCATACCAATATACGACCACAAAAAATTTTTTGCGGTCGTATAAAAAGGCGAGACATATCTCTGTGATAACAGTTTACTATACAAGGTTATGAGGTTATTACATGTATCTGGGAAACAGTTTTCTGTAATATTTTTTTAATATTTATTTAACATGACCTTTACCTTAGAAGCATTGACTTCAAATGCAATAAAAATACCCTCCTCAATATACATGTACGTGTATGTATATTTTATTGCAATTCCATGCCAGGTTAATATCTGAATACACCCTTTCTGCACTTGTTTCACAAGATATTGACTAATGACACTGTTACCTCAAAATGAATAAGGGATCTTTCACTCATTTTATGTGACCATATATTTTAAGTTTGATTCCAATCTCATGTAACGTTCCAGAGTTATAATTTGGCAACTTTTTTCCTGCACTAATTTTTTATCTCTTTGTTTGTAACTTTTGCCAGTACTTTAATCCTTGACACAGTGATTTCAAAATTAAAAGCAATCTTTCACTCATTATATGACTGTAAATTTGGTTCCGGTCCAATGAAAAGTTCTAGTGTTATAGACCTTGATCTTTTACTCAGTGATCCCAAAATAAATACTGGTGCATATATTTAAGTTTTGTTTCAATCACATGTAATGTTCAAGGGGTGTTATCCCAAACCTCATTTTCTTCACAAATAATACATGGTTTGGTGACTATTAAAGTTGACCGCATCCATCCTATTAAACTTGAAATAAAAGATAACAGAGACTAAGTATTTCTGTAGTATTTCTATAGTATTTCTATAGTATTTCCGTACAAATCCTTGCAGAGACAAAGTCAAGTCTGATTAATGTCTTGACTTACATTTAGACATTATTAAACAGGGTATATTGAGAACAAGAATTAATGACAAATAGGAATGAATCAATTTTGCGATAATTAAATTTCAATTTTTCTGTAGCAACATATCAAATCAATTGGGAGTTTCTCTCACTATATGGTTGCAATGTGATATAAAGTGTCCAATTAAGCATCTGGGATCTAAGATCACATACAGGTGTATGAGACTATATACCCCTGCTGCTTTGTAGCCTGGTGTATAAAAATATGAAGTGCAATTTGTTTCTGTATGATTTCTTGAGGTACACTTGTTGGATTTTAGTGATAAGAGTGCACACATTGAAATGTCTTGCCTGCTTTAACAGTACTGATCATGATAGAATTTATATTGAAAGTCTGTGTGATGAAAGGTTTTACTACAAGTATCACATACACTCAACATTATCATAGATCCATAAAAATAAGATCTAGGTTAGATGAACTATGCTAGAAAGACATATACACCTTACAATCATTCCATACACCAAATATAGTGGTAATCTTGCTTATAGTACCTGAAAAATAGACTAGACTAACACATAAACTTAACAGTGAACAATGTAATGAGGTCAAGGACATATGAACCCGGACAGATGGACATGTACACAGTGCAATCATTCAATACACCCAATATATTGGTCCTATTGCTTATAGTACATAAGAATCAAACCAATCGACAAAAACTTATTTTAAACAAATGAACTATGAAAATGAGGTCAAGGTCATATGAACCCTGCCAGACATGTACACTTCTCAATCATTCCATACACTAGTTGACCTATTGTTTAAAGTAACCGAGAAAACCACAAAAACTTGACATTAACCAATGAAGGTCATATGAACCCTGTTGGAAAACAAGATGATTTGCAAGGATCCCATACACCAAGTATACTTATCCTATTACTCATAATAGGTGAGAAACTTGGTAACATAAGGTATCTGCATACAAGGTATGAAGCCTCCAGATCTTATATCTTCTGAAATATAAAGATTTATACAAATAGCTTGCTTCACATTGTAATCCCTGTCTCTCACATTCTGGGACCCATACCACAGGCTAGACAAAAACTATATACGAGTGGTAGAATGTAGAAAAGTAAAATAGCCAGTTAAGGGAGCTACCATTTGATTTTTATGGGGGGGCTAGGATGAAATTTGAAAAAAATTGGCAGGACAGGAGTTTTGAGTAAAAAAAAAAGGCAGGATTACAATTTATGTAAAAAAAAAGGCAGGACCGAATAGAGTGAAAAATAAAAAGGCAGGACAGACATTACAACTTAAAAAAAAACCAGGACAAAATTTTTAATCCTAGCCCCCCATAAAAATCAAATGGCAGCTCCCTAAATGTACAAAATTTCAGATTGCATAGTTTGTCTCTGTCAATTTTCTATTTGTATGTTTTGCCAAATAAGAAATCTTTAAATGTGTAGTTACAATACAAGCTCTTCCAGTTAAGATTTTTTAGGCAGTTTATTTTTCCACAGACCATATCTCCAGATTACTTTCAAAACATGGAAGCTTCAATTTTAATTATACATTCAAAACATTTATACATAGCATTACCCCCCCCCCCCCTCCCCTCCTCCTTTTTCCATCAAAAAAGCTTTTAGTGACCTGGTGGTATAGTTTTGTTTTCTGTTTACTTTAAGGTGTATGATTATTTTCTGTTATGATTTTAGACAGTAATATTGTCTAACACAAATCTATTTCAGCAACTATGACCTTGACCTTAAACAGTCATCAGTGACCTCAAAATCAATAGGGATCTTGCTCTCATTAAATGTGACCATATCTAAGTAAGGTTTCAATCATATGTAGTATTTGTTTTAGCATTGGTAACAAGTTGTTACAAAAACACATTAAAAAAAACATTGATAAATTGAGAATGAAAACGGGGAATGTGTCAAAGAGATAACAACCCTGACTAAAGAGCAGAAAACAGCCCCAGGCCACCAATGGGTCTTCAACACAGTGAGAAAATCATGCACACAGAGGCAGACTTCAGCTGACCTATTCTTGTCAAACTTTTAGTGCTGATGAAAACCTCCATAAATAATATTACTTGAAAACTAATATTTTTGTCATGCCTTGATAAATTATTTTATTTGCTAGATACAAAAACACAAGAAAACTTATTTTTATATGTGTATTCAATAATGATAAAATTCACATACGGACCAATAAATAATCTTTAATGATGAAGTAAATTAATGCTTAATTTTGGTCACAAAGTCGAAAAACGTAAATACATTAGACAAATTGTACATATATATATAACATTAAAACAAGAAATATTCAAAGTTTTGTTCCAGATGTAAGTTCCACAGCCTAATTGTCATATGGTGATTGTATGCAGATCAATGTATATTCCTTTTCTGAAATAGAGAACAATATATTATTCAGCAACTGTATTTCATAACTTGTATTTAAAATTAATACCTTAGTAAGGTCTGTCTTAGAATAATTTGAGTAGACTTTGTAATTTATTTCAGGTTAAGTGCTACATTGATTTTAAATGTGTGTAAGTTGTGAGATTCTTTATACATTCTTTATCTCAACTCTGAAGAGTCAAATAAAATTAGTCTGTTTACCATGTTTACATTATTCACTCTAACATTATTATCTTCAGTTTAAAACATCACTGTGTTGTTTCAATAGTGAGTTGTCCCATTAAAATCTTTTAAAACCGTCCTCAGGAGAAAATTCTTCTAATAATTTTTTGTATTTTAGAACAAGACTATTAATTTAAAAGAGCAACACATTAGTGCATACATTTATTTTTTTCAGTCATACAAAAGGACACATTGGGATTCCGGATAATTTTGAATAGGAATTTTTTTTCTAGTGTCTTAATATGAACTAGAACACTCTCTGAACAATTATAAATTTTCTGTGAAAGATAGTATGTCAGATGGCAACTAGTGACACTGTGTACCTTATGAATCTAAGCATCTCATGCATGATAAGAAATGAGATGTAGTGTTGACTAATGTCTCTACCTGAAAATAAGCTGTAGTTAGGATAAGGACAAAAAGAGGAAGCAAAATGTGTGTGCATAACTCTATCCTTAGGTTAGGATAAGGATAAAAAGATGTAGAAAAGTGTGTGTGCATAAATATAAATTGTGACGTGTGTATATAAAAACAAATTGTTTTTATGAGAGTTAGCTGTGAAGTAATTAGTTTACAATGTGTATATCTGTAAGCAGTAAGTTTCTGTACAGAGCAAGAAATGTAAGAAAATATGCATGCATACTATAAAACTAATTAAAATTAACTACAGTATCATAACCAAAACAATCCATGTCTTAACATAAACTGTTCAAATTTTCATATCATTATAGACATGTAAGAATAAGAAAAGATTACTGAACAAAAGAACGAAACTAACTTAAATCCATAGAAAAACTCCAATTTGCAATCAGCAATAATCATGATAATAAAATAAACAAAATAAGACTTCAAACCAAAAAAAAAAAACTAGAGTCAATCAACATAAGGAAAACAGGATTTTTTACAAGCATAACTGATTGTAAACCAAAACTTTAGGAAACAATTGCCCATTCTCAAAAATTGAAATGTCATACAATTTTGCAAGCATCCGTTCAAGTACCTTGTATACTTATGGGAGATAACTTTTACACCGCATCAGGATTCTGGATGACAATCAACAAATATTCATTTTCTGTATAAATAGAGAAATATACATCTAAAGCAATGCTCTCAGTAATATGAGTAGTTTTGAAATCGTGCACTACAAAATTTGCATTTAATTTCTACATTAACTGTATAATTTCTTATAATTTTTTTAATATGTTCATTTGGTTAATAGACATGATATACATGATATATATATATATATTTTATTATATTTAAATATTATTGTTTTGTCTTTAAATGTTTTACCAATTATTTACATTATATTATAATAAATTTATAAATTTGCATAAAAATTATTTGATGTTTTATTAGATTAAATAACTCAACTCAAGCTTAGCATAACAGTTTTTATTATCTAGCTTAGCAGCCACACAAAGTTTAAAAACACCATTCATTACAAATGTAAGCATATATTATACACATTTAAAATTATCATTAATTGGTTGAGAGTTGGTTTTGGATGTTTGAACCCCCTCTCTTTTAATTTTCTTCTTAATCACACTTTTAAGCAACCAAAATCCCCTTTTAAATATTTCTGGATACACACCTATTAACATTATTTTCTAAAATATAACCATTGAATAACCTCTTTTTGGAGTATGAAGGGAGAGTTCAATGATTTGATACAGAGTAATGTGAATCAAAACACTAGCAGCAGTTGGTCTTATGAACCCCCCAAATGTTTTGTCCAAACAAATTGAATAACAACTCTATGATGGTAAGGCTCACACCGACTTTGACATTACACATTACTAACAATAGCTGACATGTTTCAGGCTGACCAACAATACAATATTAGTAGTAAGCTAAAAGGTTAAGATGTCCGATCTTTAAAACCCAATAGAGTGTTGAGACATAAATTCTTAAAGAAAGTAATTAATCTACTGTGAGCCTGGTCCTGGTTAGTAAAAGTATCTTATCTGTCAGATTAGAGTTAATAATATTAGTAAAAGCAAAAACAAAAACAATCTGTGTTATAAATATGATTAAAATGTGTCATGTGTATGTGCACACAAATACAATATAAATAAAGCTACATAACCTAAACCAAGAGCACATTTGCAAGCACATAAACCACTAATTTAACTAGCAAAGTTTGTTGTAAGTTGTTAAATTTGTATGTTTATAAAGAGAAACAAATTAATAAAGTAAAGCATAAACTAAAAGTGGACAAAATTTATGATCATCTTATGAAGCATTTAAAAACTTGCAAATAATATCTATGATATCAGAATCTAATGTATGATAGTGACTTTTTCAAATTTTGATAATTACATTATGCAAAATTTCTTAACCACTGACATGATGATACAGTGTTCAATATATTTTCATCTAATCATGAATGGTACCATAAACGCAAATATTGAAAAGGAATGTTTATACTGTCATCTTTTTTTGAAATATCTACATAGGGACAAAATATGTAAATGATGTACATGTAAAATGCATTAAAACAATCTATACACATACCAGGGGCAACCATAATTTCATGTTTTTTCGATCGTATCCTTAGGAATGTAAGGTCATTCTGTGGATCAATGTCACGAACTGTACTTCTGGCTTTGGATGTCAGTTGTGTGATCAGACCAGCATACTGTACTGTTGTAGAGTTATCAAGGGTTGTTCTAATGGGAATACCTGAAAATAATTCATGCATACATTTGTAATTCTTTTCACAAGTTTTTACAGGTGCAAGAGATATGAAATCACCTAAGTGTACATTAATAATCATAGATATGAAAGTAAAACTTTAAATTGAATAACTGACAGATATGAGAAACAAGTACTACATTCTTTCATGTGTTTGGATGAACTATTTTATTATGAAATACCTTGCAATGCAAATTAAGTACTAAACTTATAAATTATTCTTTCACAGACATGACATATTATTAATGCAAAAATTAGATGTACACAGTCTGATCTCATGCAATGTGTTGACACACATGTACGTTCTGCACATGAGATTTTTATAATATTTTGTTCCCGAACAGCAGTTTTCATTTAGGGGGAACGATGAGTCAATAAAAGGTTTAGATTACACCATAACTTTACAGATGATCTTATATTATGATCCACTATAATCAAAGAATTGGCCAGTTGAACATGTTGAAGCAATCAACTTGATTATGTAAATACTGAAGTCTGATAATCGATTGTTAAATTTCATTATCAATCATATCAAATAATCAGTTATTAAAAGTATTTTGAAAGACACGAAGCCCACTTCATGTAGAATTGTTGAAAATATACTCTTAAGATGCTTTGATGCATTTCAGTTAAGTTTATAGCATTTATATTTATCATTTGTAATGTTTAAACTGTTGTAGCATATTTAGAAAGTCATTTATGTTTGTGTTGGGTCTTTAAAAACACTACTGATTTTATCATCCATAGGCATAGTCCGTGGGTTCTTCTTCCGGTAAGCGGCCACCGTCAACTGGTTGACTATTCTGCCACATTTTGGAGTGAGCGCATGAAATATTTTTGAAATTTATTAAACAAAAAGAGAATGGGTGCAATTTAATATATATACAGGTGCAATTAAAAACATGGCATTTAATCTAATGATGGAGCTGAGCCTTGAAGGATTCAGGACTCAGGGCGGAGACAGTAGAGTTGGGCAAGGTGTTCCACTCTCTGATTGTTCTGGGATAGAACGACTCCTTCCGTACAGTTGTTTTACACGATGGTATTCTAAGTGCCTTTTCGTTATTATTTCTGGAAGGGCGTTCATTCGGTATTAGCTTACTGGATGTATCGATTTTGACAAAGTTGTTTTGTAGCTTATACATCATTATTAAGCGGCTATGTTTCCTTCGTTCTTGTAGGGTAGACCATTCAAGATGTTCAAGCATGCTACTAACAGATGAGGTGTTGTGATATCTGTTAGTAACATACCTTGCTGCCCGTCTTTGCACCATGTCCAATCTGTGGATGTCGTTTTGTTGGTATGGATCCCATACTGCACTAGCATATTCTAAAGTAGGCCTGACGAGGGACATGTATGCTTTTTCTTTAATTGACTTGTTTGAGATGTAAACATTCCTTTTTAAGAAGCTAATGGTGTTGTTGGCTTTGGAGCAGATGGAGCTTATGTGTTTCCCCCATTTAAGATCTGATGAAATGGTGCATCCCAGGTATTTAGCTGATGTTACATGTTCGAGGTTATGGCCATGTAGTGTGTAATTGTACTTTGATGGAGTTCGCTTCTTGGAGATGGTGAGTACATTACATTTGTCTGGATGGAACTTCATAAGCCATGTTGTTTCCCATACAGCCAGTTGGTCAAGGTCCTTTTGTAAGTTTGCGGCATCTGCATTGGATGAGATGGTGAGATAAGCAATAGTGTCATCGGCAAACAGTCGTACAGTTGATTGAATCCCCTGGGGCATATCGTTTATATAAAACAAAAATAGGCTAGGTCCCAGGACGGATCCTTGTGGTACGCCGGACTCTACAGGTATGGAGGTCGATGTTTCACCCTCTACAACTACTGACTGTATTCTATCACTGAGGAAGTTGTTTATCCACTCATTTGTTTTACCGGTTATCCCATAATGCTTCAGTTTGTGGATGAGAAGGCTATGACTAACCTTATCAAATGCCTTGGAGAAGTCCATTATGAGACAATCTGTTTGTTTCCCCTGATCTAAGTTTTTAGTTACATCATCAATAAATTCAATCAGTTGTGATTCGCATGATAATCCCCTTTGAAACCCATGTTGAAGTGGATACATGATGTTGTGAGTATCTGCATGAGACATGATATGGCTAGTTATGATGTGCTCCATTAGTTTACATGCTATGCAAGTGAGAGAGACAGGCCTATAATTTATCGGATCGTATTTCTTCCCTTTCTTATACACTGGACAGACGTTTGCAGATTTCCAAATACAAGGTACTTCGCTTGTCTGATATGAGCAGCGGAATAATGTTGTCAGTATTGGTGCTATATGTAATGCAAGTTCCTTTAAGACTCTTGGTGTTATATTGTCTGGCCCAGCTGCCTTATTTGGATTAAGGTTATTTAGTAGTTTGTACACACCATTTTCTGTTATATTGATGTCCAAGATTTGTTCAAAGTTTCCGGACATGTTACACTGTTCTTGAAATTCTTTTTCTGTTATGCTGGTTTTGTCTAAAAAGGCTTTCTGAAATTGGCCATTGAGTATGTCTGCTTTTTCTGTTGGCTCTGAATGTAAAGTTCCATTTGATTTTAGAGGTGGTATTTTACTCCCATCTGACCTTTTGTGTTTTATAAAGGTCCAGAACCTTTTCATACAGTTTGGTCTTTCTTGAGGTTTAATTAGGTCTGGTGGTGAAACTATACTGTCGATGTAATTCCAGTAAGCTTTCCTAATTTCTCTCTGTGTACGACGCTTAAGTTCTTTAAATTTGTCTCTATCTCCTCCATTACCCGATTTTTTCATTCTTTTGAACCATCTGTCTCTTTTTCGTATGAGACGCTTGATGTCAGATGTGATCCAGGGACTACCATCCTTTTTCCTAGCGGTCTTTTTCGGTACATTTTTTTCTATGCTCTCTTCAAGTTTGGTTTGGAAGTGTGTCCATAATGTATTTACTCCTGCCTTTTGTTCATTCATTAGGGTGATATCATGGTGTAAGTTATTCATATCTATTTTCATATTCTCCCAATTTGCTTTTCTATATAACGGTATAATCCTTGGTTTTTGAATAGATTTCCGGGGATTTAGATTAACTTCTGTGAAAATGATTTCATGGTCGGAGAGCCCAGGTAAGGTTTCAACTCTCATGAAGCTTTCAGGATGATTTGTTACAACAAGATCAAGAGTATTGGGTCCTCTGGTTGGTTTATTTACAAGCTGTGCCATCCCATTATCATCCAATATATCAGCAAATTTTTCATGATTTGTTGCACATTGGGTGTGCATCTTGATCTCTTTGTTAGTCCAATCCCAGCCTGGTAGGTTGAAATCACCAGCTGATATAATGAATGCATTTCGTATTTTACTGGCTCTTTCAATGCTTATTCCATATTCATTATATCCCTTTTCGTTTGATGTTTTGGGGTTGTAGTAACTAGATAGATAGACAGTTTTATGCCCGACAATTTCCATCTTGCACCAAGCAATTTCACAATCAGTTTGAAGTTCTGGTACTGATGAAGTGATGTATGTGTCTTTGACGGCAATGAGTACTCCCCCTCCACTTAAGTTTCTGTCATTTCTGTAAATATTGTACCCATCTGGAAAATATTGCGAGTCTTTTATTGATGAATCAAGCCAGGTTTCAGTTCCAAAAATTATATCTGGTTTTGTGCTTTCAATAAGATTTATAAGTTCGCCTTGTTTGTTTCTTATTGACTGGAAGTTGACATTTAATACTCGAATAGTCTTAGGATTTGAATCTTCTTGCTCCTTTTTCTTTTGTGTTTTCCGTTCTGGTGTTGAAGTATGTAATGGTTTTATGATGCTAGATGTTGGACTGCTGATGGATATATTTGACAGTATGCTGAAATGATTTGAAGTGCTGAATACCAAAGAATAGCAGAAGGTGGAGTAATTTGGACAATTACACATAATGCAATCCCATGCAATGGCGGAGTCATTCACATGTTCTAGGTAGGACTTAGTTTGCATAGCCTGGCAACTGATGTGGTACCATTGGTTGCATGTATCGCATACTATACCTCGTTCTTGCCATGTAACTGGTTGGTCGCATGTGCCACATGGATATACAGTTCCACTGGTGTTTGAACATTCAGGTCCAGGGTTAAGATTTACATCGTTTGATATAAGAATTAGTATCATTGAAAGATAGGTGAGATGGTTTATCATTTTACGATATATTAATCTTCTCTCATTCATACTAAGTATTTCAGTTCTAATGTTGTCAATGATGGTAAAATGGTTTATATACTCTGGGTTGTAGTTGTTAATAATGGTAAACATATGCTCCCCTTGTTTTGATTTTGTCAAAATATTTTGTTGGTCTGTTATTTTGGCTAGACATAGTTGGTATCCAAATGACAATAAAAATAGAAATATAATTAGTTGTGACATCTTTGGGCTGTGTAAGAAGGTGGTGATAAGATGAACTCACCTACACACCTTTCTTAACTTCCACTTGACTGTCGAGCTGTCAGATTTCTATTTCGTATTTGCCGCCATTTTGTTCTTTGTTTACATAGGTAACCGCTTTCTAACTCAGGATTTCGTTGTTGATTGATGTTGGTTGGTCCTAACTTTTATGTTGCAATGAATGTAATAGATAATGGAACACCTTTACCCAACTTACATTGATTTAAATAAATTTTACAAAGGATACAAATAACTTTAGTAAGACTTTTCTTGGAGATGAAAAAGGATACGTCCGAATTCGGCGCATGCGCACACTCCATCCAACAAAAAGAAAACCATCATGAGTTGAAATTCTAATTGAAGTAATAGCACTTCTTTACAGTCAAGATGGAAGTTATTTTCTTACTTCTAATAATATATATTTAGCCATTCTGGCATTCACTAAAAAATTGTTATTCCACTGATAATAAAAGAAACTTAATATCCATGTCAGAAGAGAACAAATCAGGACAAAATGTATTCATGTTTAAGAAAATTATGAAATTCTGGCTTATCCTGCAAATATTCATGCACTGCAAAACATGTTTGAGAAACATAAAAATCTTGTTATCAAATTATGCACAGTTTAAAATGACTACTCAATATATACTGGTCTATCTGACATGTCTATAATTACATTTGACCACCCATTGAACAAAGTATTTCTAAGCAATATACCTTCCATATTTACAACGATAGTTCCTATGACCCCACGATGGCCCTGGATTCTTTTCAATGTTTCTTCTACTTCAGACTGAAATATAATAATAAAAGATGAATATAAGATGTGTAATTTAATGAAGGTGTTATATGATGTAGAGATTTCATAAATAAGAACTATAAACATAATAAAGGAGTAAGTTTGTAAAGAGCCATATTTGACACTAAATAGAAGGCAATAGTTTGAAATATAAAAAAGTATCCATGTTGATGAAACTGAAATATGTTAAAATCTATGCTGATTTACAGTGGAATCCCCTTTGTACGTGCAGCTGGTGATATCGCACATTATCTGATATCGTCATATCTGTAATTTAACAAATAGAATCGTTCTTCTAATTGTTTTAGTCTTCCAAAGGGACAACAAAGATAAAAATTGATAAGTTCAATCTTAATTTATAATTGCAATCCCATGATTAACCATATTTAACTATTTTCCATAAAAAAATTACATCATTAGATAAAATTGGTTTCATTTTAAGTCATTTTTTATCAAAATAAAATAAATTTTGCTCTGCATCCTTGGCAGTCTGTTTGGTTCAAACTGAACTACATTTCAAAGTAGAAAATCTTTCCTGCATTCAAAATTAGCTATTCTTAGAAGGCATGTGCCAAATCACCAGACATTTGAACTGTCAAAACAGGAGTTTCCCTAATCTTGGAGACATTACATAAAATCTTAAGGGTGAAACCATACATAAAAGAAGATTTCATGAAATTAAAGTAAGTCATGAATTTCATTGAATTTGTTTACACAATATTATCCGATTATTGGTTTTATGACATTACCAAAGTGAAGCCAAAAGTCTTGGGTGTGCAGATATATCTGAATGCACTGTAATAGGATTTTAATCCAAATTTCATGGTTCACTGAACTTGGAAAATTATGTGATAGTGTGAGTGGGGTATGGTGTCACAATGGACACATTTTCTTGCTATAAAAATGTCTTATGCTTTTCAAATGATGTCATCAAAAATTAAATGCATGAACTTTTCTTTACCCATCTGATGTCAGAAGAAAAGTTATCTAAGGCTTTCTATCCTGTTTACAATAGTTTTATTTTACTTTAATTTCAATTTAGCAACTACATGTAATGTAAAGACTACTGATCACTATACAAAATCTGATTGAAGGTACCTTTTTTCGTTTTATTGTGTATTATTTTTCCAGAAAAGTATTGAAATATGAGTCATACATGTACATGTTGCATGGTCGATACATATATAAAAATTTAACATGGGTAAAAATCAATGTTAAATATCTCATGTATCGTATGTCATTAAGTGCGAGTGACTCTAATAGTGAACAATTCAAATAACTCAGCGAATTTTTTCTCCTAAAAGTGTCATAAATATATGAAAGTGCAGAAATTATATTTTGTCTGTGTTTTCACCTATTTTCATTATTTAACATATCATCTGCGAGCTAACTTTCTTTGGTTTAAGAAGATGGATTACCGAATCATTTTAAGTTGAAGACATTATTTATGTTACTCTTACCATTTTTCTGTGTGTTGTTTACGTTGCAGATCACCTTGTGTTGAAAAAATATCTTTCCTTGGTTACAACGTTCGATTTGACATGCGTCAACTTGATTTCCGTTCTAATCACAATTTAGCCTCCAAAAAAAATACGTTTAAGTAATTTATAAATTGTATAGTCTAGTATATTTCTAATTCTTTTTCATGTTTATAAAATAAGAATGTAAAATGTCGTTTTGTTTTCTTTTGTTCGGAAAAGAAATCTAATTACTTTTACTGGTTTTAGAACTAAAACAAATTAAGATACCAGTTTAAAAAGACAGGTGCGCGCGAAATTTTAAATGAAAATTGTTCTTCTTGTAAGGACTGGACATTTTCATTAATTGGGAGACCTTGAAGAAAATTACGGAATTAGTCTTTTTTTATCTCAATACCCACTTTGAAAATGAAAATTTATTCAAAACCCCCTTCCAAATATATGACAATTTCACCCCCTCCCCACAAAAAATAATGAAGAAAAATTTCATTTTTAAAAGAACCGAAGTAAGCCAATTTACATCAGATAAAATGCTTTCCTGGAAAAATATCATGTGACTAATGTTTTGGATCTAGACAAATTGAGCCGAGCAGATCGAGGCGAAAAATTGATGCTTTTTTTTTGTGCAAAAGGTTATATATTTTTTTTACTGTAGAGGGAGCTTTGGGTGTGGGTCGCCTGAGTTTGCATAACGTCAGATATACAGTACATGGCTAACAGTATTCGTCACCTACAATTTTTTGCTATATATCTCATATAAAAACATTTTTTTTTCAAAATATATTTTTAAGGCATTTACGGTTTGATTTTTACAAACCAGTTGTTGAAAGACGAAGAATTCTTTCAATTATAATAGTTTTTTCTTGATATGTTTTAGTTTTCTCCTGACTCGTATAATATTTTGTATAACTTAAATTGGCTGTCAATATATAGCAAATTTCTTAAACCAAAAATATATCAGAAAAAGAAAACAACAACAAAAATACAACCAAATAAATATACAAAACTGTGATAATTCTGCTTATATCATCATGGTTAAAATCCAACCAGAAAAGACCCCACAATATTTTTTTGAAAAAATGCCAAGCCAGACGATACACTCTGACAGTTAAATACATGTAATGTTATATTGGTCATCAAGTCCGAAACAGATTTTTGTCTTCGTTCAAAAAAGTATAGTGATGATCCTATACTTTCAATAAATATACGATTAACCTTATTAAGAAAATTCGTTCGCTTAGGTCTAAATTATATATGATCAAAATGACAGGATGAAATGGGAATTATATTGTGAACATTTATAATTGCACATTGTTTGTCGGCAAAAAGGCCACCCTATTCAGATTTGAAGAAACACTTCTGATTAAATAAAACAGGAAGCGTGGTCGATAATTTTGTAACTATAATCAAATTGATCACTTTTTTATTTTCCTAAATTGAAGAAATCGATAGGTCATTTGAACAAACAGCATGATATTGCATTATAATTATTCATGCATGGAGAAATTTTACTGCCGGTGCAAAATGCTATTATAATTTATATGTTGAGACCGTTGAGCCTCTGGAGATTACTTTCTCGGCATACTACCCCAGTCCAAACAAGAAAAGTCCTTGTATATTGTTTATATACCCAGTCTCACTGCATGTATAGCTTTTGTACCATGTACGTTGGATTTATAAACCCAGTTTTTCCGACTGAAGGTTACCACTACCCTGCAAGGCCGGGTCGTCCTCTAGGTTGTGCAGGATGTATAAATACACATCCACGTATGATGCCTCGTGTAACGAAATGTCATAAAGTCTGCACGTTAAAAAAACTCTTGCAGAAACTATTTGTGGGTTCTGAAGGTAGTCATTTCCATGATAAAATGTCTGTCCCTATCAAATCCGACAATCAATCTGATTGGAATATAGATTCGCTTCTTATATAAAATACCCTATTTCCCAATGGCTGTCCAAATTTTAAAATTTTCCCACCCTACAACTGGTTTATCCATGCACATTGTCATTGCAGAGCCTATAGCTACCTATTTAATTGTTCTCGTCCTTAACAGCGCGGGACGTTTGCGCTTTTTGATAGGATATTTGCGCTTTATTTACACAACATTTGAGTTATTATAATTAAAAGTATAAAAAAAAAAATTAAATATCAAAAACAAAATACATTAATATATTTAAATACAGATAAGACTTATTATAAACCATTCCTATACATTACTGTGTTAGAGGAGGTGGATGGAAGTAAATTCATATACATGTAACCGTGAATCATGACTTTTTCTAAAAGTCAACATCATGAAAATGAACAGCAGGTTGTCAAAAAATCGACTTGCGGTCTTCACAAGTTGAAACAAGCTTATAAACGATGATGATCCATGATTGTACTATTCCTCGGATTATACATGCAACAGAATGGACACAAGAGGAATACTGAGCTATAGTTTCCGATTTTAAATCCACGAATTATATAAAGCTGCTTGAAGAATCCAGGGCAATCGTTTACCCGAATAATTTGTTTTCTGATTTTGTCGTGTGTTCGTAAGAACTTTCAAAGAATATGTGAAAATCTTCCATTTTTTTTATAAAGTTTGTTAAGATAACAGGTAAAATCTCATAGGTATAAAAAGCACAAATGCCCGGTCAATTTAGTTCAGGTGTACCAAAATTAAAGCACAAATGACCATAGCCTTAGTCATAGTCATAGGCCGTTGGTTTTCTCGTTTGAATTGTTTTACATTTGTATTTCGGGGCCTTTTATAACTGACTTTGCCGTACCGGTGTTTTGCTCATTGTTGAAGGCCATGCGGTGATCTATAGTTGTTAACTTCTATGTCCTTTGGTCTCCGGTAGAGAGCAATCATACCACATCTTCTTAATGTTTTCTATAGTGTCTTAAACTCAAATGTCCTTTCTTGTTACAGGTAAAAAATCGCAAAAGTTCTGTGTCTGCACTTAATTAGTTTGAGTTGATGCTACTAAAAATAACAGTCCTGGAATAAGAAGAAATACTAATAATGTCGGGTAAATAAAGAAGTCGCTGACCAATCTCATATATCATATCCATTTGCAAATGAGGGTTAAAAGTGGCTAAAATGACATCAAATTTCAAACTGACATATTTAGGGTAGAAAAAAACACATAAAAAACAGAATAAATAGATATATTTATTTATCAACATAATGCTAAAATATTTACAGTAATATTTTTGTAATAAAACCAACTATATATATATATATCCAACTATTTTAAACAAAGAAGAAAAAACCGTGACAATTGATTGGAATGGTCTTTTATAGTTTGGACGTATTACTGATTTTGCCATTTTTTAATATAATAATCCTGAAACAAATGCACTTATAAAATACAAGTAAATACAATAAATCATGATAGAAGGAATACAAAATGCTTTTTAAAAATGAGCACTATAAGCACGCTCATCATGGATCAGCACTCGCATAAAACGCCAAATCATTTACTCATAAATAATTTCGAATAGAGTAGACTATTTAAAGTAGAAATTTGACAGCAATAATTCTCTAATATACGATTTAAAATCTGCATATGGTATTTCAAATTGAGAGTATTGTGTCGTTCAGGGCATTCTTTGGTTCCAAGTCTACAACTGTGTTTCGAGTATAATGATTTATGGCATTCTGTAAGTTATCTGTAAAATGTTTAATACCTGATCCAAATAACGAGCATGCAGTGATACAATCAGAATAGCAGGCTACAACCTGAGACTATTATACTGTTAGTATAATAGTCACAGCTACAACTTGACATTTTAAGTTTCCAGTGATATTCGCCAATAATTATAATAGAAAATATTGGTACCGTACATTAATGGTAAGTTACACTAAAGTGAACTTATCATGATCCAAATAAATTTGATTTCGTCTCAATAGAATACCTCGGTTATACCAAATTGGAGATCTATAGTTGATTTTTTATAAATGAATAAAAGGAGACGAGAGAAAAATGTTGAGACAGCGAACTAACAACATAATAAACAAAAAAAAAATGATCTATCCGACCCTTCTCTTCAAAAGGACTCAAGGCAAACATGAAAAATAAAATTTCTATTTCCAAAGACGAAACATTTTTAAATTAACACATGTACAATATTTATAGAGTTGTAATTTTGATGTAAACAAAAAAAAAAAAAAAACATTTTCCGAAACAATAGATGTATAATTTTTGTGATAAAAAAATATTCTTTATCATCTATGTATTTTACAGTGGTCAACTTATCCTTTATCTATATGGTCATTCCAGAGAAATTTGCTTAAAGCAAACACAATTTACATACTTATTGGGTACATATATACAATGGATAGATAGGTGCAGATCCAGTATTTGAGGTTAGAGGGGGAGCGACACTAACAAAATATGCTGGAGGTGTTTAAAGCCAAAAACAATATTTTTTTTCAATTTTAGTGAGGCGAGCTGTGTGCACCCTGCGCCGCCGGAATCCACCCTTGCATATTAGAATAGTATATTACCCACCACTAAAATGTCGAATCATAAAGTTCCCGAGTTATATAACAAGCATAAAAACTCATGAAATATCAATACTAACAATTATACAAATCAATATAATGACTTATTTAGATGGGGAAAACATAATTGATTACCATGTACTGTGGTTTTTAAACAATCTTTGAACTGTAACCATTATTGTTAATTCAGTTTAAAAAGGCTGTTCAGATGGTCAATTATTCATTAAAGTTTAACAAAGTTTTAACTAAAATCAATTTATTTCTCTTGCATAGCTGTGTAACAAACATTGTATACTCTAATGTTTACATCCTCCTCGTGCACAAACTTCATTCAAAACCCTGTGGGCCTCCTTTACACCCTTTGAAGCTGCATGGGCAATTAGCTGATGAGATTCTCTGAAAACAACATATAAAAAGATATATAACTTGCAATGTATTGAATTCCCATACATAATTATTATTCAAAATTAAAATAATTTCTATCCGTTGGAATATGCCTTTTATGGAATTCCTTTAAGAGGGTCTAGGTGAGGTTTACAGAATAGAGAATAATGGACAAAAAGTATAGAATAACGGGCAGAAAGAAAAAAAATAGGCAAAAAAAATAGAAAATAGAGAATAATGGGGTGCTAAAATCTATAGAATATAGAATAATCGGCAAACATGAATAATGAATAGAGAAAAATGTTATAAAAAAATAAAGAATAAAGAAAAGAAGGACCCCTGGGCCCCGTCTAGATACTCTTATAAAAAATAAAGAACAAAGAAAAGAAGGACCCCTGGGCCCCGTCTAGACACTCTTATAAATAATAAAGAATAAAGAAAAGAAGGACCCCTGCTTGGGCCCCGTCTAGACACTCTTATAAATAATAAAGAATAAAGAAAAGAAGGACCCTTGGGCTCCGTCTAGACACTCTTATAATGAAGGGGTCCCCGTCCAGACACTCTTATAATGAAGGGGTCCCCGTCCAGACACTCTTATAATGATTATTTAAAACATACATATCAGTATGGGTTTATGCATTAGCAAATGCATTAGCTAAAGTTACTTTAAAAGTTTACAAGAAAACTATTGCATCCGTTTTAGATCTGAACAACTATGTTTTCTTACCCAGGTTTAAGTCCAGTTTTGTACCCCTTCATATGACCGATAGCTAAATTATAAGATGCATGTGGATGTCCTTGGTCCGCAGCCTTTCTGTTGGAGAGAAATTCAGAATATATTGTACCTAACGTATGATGTTGTATAGAAATTTAAGTAGTACTCAATCAAAGAAATAGGAATATATAAAATGACAAAAAGACCAGAAATCAATATCATATAAATGGACCATAATTCTCTTTTTAAATTAGTTTACATTTAAAGAAGGAACTGGGTTTCTATATTGACTTAATCATGTATCACGTTGTCGGTACCATACACAACAACCGATCGATATCTTATGAATGCACTGTAAAAGAGATGTGGGATTTACGGCCAGTGAGACAACAACATAACGACAAAAAGACATATAGGTCAAGCTCTAAATGGTCCCGAATCTATAAAAATTGGAAATAAATTTATGAGTAAACAAACGATGAGTCTATACAATTATGTAACCTTGGTTTGTTTATCATAATCTTAGTTTGAGATATAAGATGCTGCATCGATTATTTTCTCTATTTGCGCACTTTATGCGATGTATACATATATACGAGTTCTTTAACATTTATTTTGTCTAAAGCTTACACACGCGACTTTTAATTGCTTAACAAAGAACTGCGCATTCATAATTTTAACAAAACTTCCTAAATGTTGATCACGTTAATTCTTTAAGATTTAAGCCATAAATGAAAATTCAAATATGTTTGGAACACATGTTGTCTACCCCCAAACCTTTAGGCTAATAAGTATTGGTTGCTTAACGACCAATAGTATACTTCAAGACATAGCATCTTCTCCCTTATACTCGCTATCACCAATGACTTATTACTACAGTATTATACATTTTTAATACTACCTATAATCATATACTTACTTAAACCATTCCATAGCTTTGCCCTCGTGTTTGTCTACTCCTTTGCCTGTTGAAAGAAACACACATTTAGACTCACCTAGCTCGATAACAGATACACGAGGAAGCAATAATACTAAAAAGTACATCATTTTTAACCTGACAGATTTCCCAATCTGCAGTTTCTCTATCTCTGACATAAGTCCATTACTGCAGTTTGACCCCTTTATTCTATTTTAGCAACATCAGCAATTTTTTCTTGATGAATCAAAACCTTGGATATGATTTATTAACAAGTTCACCAAAGGAACATTAACACAAAGTTTGATTAAAGTCTTATCAGTCGTTTCAGACGAGAAGATTTTGAGAAAAGCCTAATTTGAGATAGTTTCGATCCAAGTGGTAGGAAATGGATTGCTAATGCGACCGACTATATCCCGACAGATAGGCCTAATTATATTCCAAGTTCTGTCGTTGCAATAAGTGATAAAAAGTATGCTATGTATGGATTTAATTGACAGTTAGTTTCTCGTTTGAATTGCTTTACATTAGTCATTATATCAGGCCTTTTATAGCTTACTATGCGATATGGGTTCAATCTAATTAAAATACAGATCCTGTATCCAAGCTTTGCTTACAAACCTTGTAAGCAAAGCTTGAACACGGGAGCTGAATATTATTAGATTGGTACGGGTTTTGTTCAGTGTTGAAGGTCGTATATACAGTTACATATCATGGTTTTTAACTTCTATCATGTCTATGTCACTTGGTCTAACCGTCTTTTTCAAATCATGTTTTTTTCGTGACAAATATTGGAGGGAGCTCTATCAACAAAATCGAATTTTGGGGTTAATTAGCATGCATGTCCTCACAGAAGAGGGAATGGTTACATACGGTTTTGGTTCATCCGAGTCCATGGAGCCGTACAAATCAAAGTCGTATGTCACTGGCCCTGCATGTGTATAAGGGGCCTCGGTGGCCTAGTGGTCCAAGTAGTCGAACTACTGAGTCACTAGCCTGTCAACACTGAGGTTGTGAGGTCGAATCCGGCATGTACCAGGTGCTTAATTGACTAGGATTGCCAGTTTTCCTATCGAAGGTTGGCGGTTCCCTCCGGGCACCCCGGCTTCCTCTACCAATAAAAACAGACCGCCATCAAATAGCGTAATAGTGCTGAAAGTGACTTTAAACACAAATCAATCAATGTGTATATATGAGTTTTTATATTAAATATGAAGTTTTTCTTCATTTGGGTGTGCACATTCTGTGAAGAATGGAACATTAAATTGGTCATGACTAAAAGGATTTAAATAAAACAAACCATACCTTTTTAACCCCCTGATATATTCATGTGTCGATCCTAAGTGTAAACCTCGTCAGTTTTGTCTTATATATCTAATAATTCTTTTCTTATTTGGAGAAATTGGCGTTGAAGACAGATCTTTGTTGGGATCTATATTTAAATGTATTCATATCTTTTATAAATTTATAGCTAACAACAGTCTGTATTGTTGACGATTGTTGTAAGAGATGTATTTTGTTTGTCTCATTGTGTTGCAATCTCATCGATGTATAAACAAAATCTCCTGTTATCCATATCAATTAAATACAAGAAATTGGTTCATACCATGAAGATATCGTTGTCCGACTTGATGTTGAGCTTGTGGATAACCTAGCCATCCATATGCATAAGTGACGTGGAAATGCAGGTGATCGAAATAGTAGTATGCATAAAGTGCAAAAATTAAAGTCCCAATCACAACCATTGCCTGTAAGAAAATAGAAATGTCCACTTTAAAACATAGAGAACAAGACATGTTTTTTTTTTTTCTTTTGGCCACATATAGCATCATCTTTTTTTACAGAAGCGGAACATGTCCTTCGTGTTTTGTGCAAATATATGTAAAAATACGCTATACTTTAATAATTTAATTTTGGATGTAACGCGTCTTCTGATTGGCTGACGTTGTTTTGTTTATCAGTTCATAGACATAATTTTGTCATGTGACCGTGACGTCATCAACGTTGTTTTATGGTTTACTCCGGTTTAAAATGAAATTTAGAATTAAATTATAAGAAATGACTGTAATATTTTTTTCTGTCTATTCGAAATAACATAAAAAATGTGGTGCACACTTTAAAATAACACGCTACGCGGGTTATTTAGTGTGCACCACATTTTTGATGTTATTTCTTCATAGACAGAAAAAATATTACAGTCATTCCTTAAAGAGAAAAAAAGAATGTTCCGTTCATTGTGAAATCCTACTTTTATCGCACGATCGTCAATGCACAATCATTTAACGACACTCTTAACCTTGACTTTTAAAAAAATGCATTATTCTCTTATGGCTTTTGAATTAAATGAAAACTCTTGAAAAAGTAAAATGATTCCAATGGGGAAAAACAAAGTTCCAACAAACCAAAACAACTTTCAAAAGGAACCACAAACAAGATTCCGAGGGGACCAAAACAATGTTTAAAGGAAACCAAAACAAGATTCAAATGGGATTAAAGTCATAAGTAGACAGACCGTCAACACCATGAAACAAAAGGCAAACATATTTTTTTTTGAAACAGGTCCACAAAACTGAAGATGGAACAAACACGAAACCCGTAAAATAATCGGGTTGAACTCCGGGAGGATAAAGAGTTCTCGCTCTTATATATATATAATGGCTTGGTATACATCTCATAACAAGGGAAAACTTGGTGCTAAGGATTGCTACTAAGGAAAAAAAAACAAGTTGAAAATGTCACCTTTGACACATATTTTTCGTATCGGTCAACGAAGTAATGATGGCGCCCATCAGTAAAACTTTCGAAGAAAATACTTCAACTATACTGATATCGTTAAGCACCTTGGTTGAGATCATCAACTTTCTATCAAGGAAATTCCCATAGGAAAACGTATGCTCTGAAATATCAGGGGCTGCTGGAAAGTTGCTACATTATATGGAAAAGTAAAAACAATTGGAATCGTGTAAGAAGAACGAGATTACATGTATGTCTTGTTAGTTCATAAAAGACACTAACTGTCGATTGTTGTGCGTCAGTCAAGGAATGAAACAGACCTTTATCACGTTAATGTTACAGTATCCAAATTTTACTATTTGTATTTTTATGATTTGACATTATGCACGTCTTTCAAAATAGCTCAATATATTTATATATACACAACACGTTCACAGTATATATCAGCAGATCTGATGAAGTTTTCACAAGTAAACTCTGTGACAAAGGAAACGTCGCCATGATCCGCCATGCGACGTCCACAAAAAGTCAACTTTTGAAAATGAGTAATTAAAACATGTTACAGACATCCACTTCTTAAAAAATGAATAGTCAGCATGGACTGCATGTTGTCAAATAGATCTAAATATTTGGAGAAATAAAACAAAAACCAGTTATTCGAATAACTGTATATATATGTGGTAACTTTTAGAGTTCCTTTATTTTCAAATTCAATGAGAAAGATGCCATCAACTTAAGAGGCTTCCGGAAAATTACAACATCTTTATTGCGGAGCGTAAAATATGCTTTTCATTTTATTCTCAAACCTCCCATGTGAAAATCTGCCTCTACTCATACAAATAAAGGTACAGGTATAGGCGAGAGAAATGGCACAGTTGGTTCTCTATTGGAATGCTGATTACATGGCTTGATAAACATGTACAACCAAGATAAAAATACGTGGATACAAAAAATCCTTTTCCGAAACCGTTTTGTGAGTAATCAGATTGCATTTTGTCAGAAAATGACCAATCCCTTCCTAAACTTGAACAAGATTTAAGTTTTAACGCAAGACTATAGTGATCTTTGAATTTGATCTTTTAAAAAGTTTCAGTGTTCCGACTGTTAGTGCAGGGCAGTGGTGCAGGATCGGATGATGATCGAGGTGTACATATTACTATGTGTGTTACAATAATAAAAATGGTAAAAAAAATGAAAAATAAAGATGGAGCGTTGGTGTTGTGGATTTAAGGAAAGTTGTCAGAAATAAGTAAACAATACACTATTATTGACACAATGTAAATACCTCAATAATTCTGACATGGAGTGGGTCCGGCTTCTTTTTTCTAGCTAAATAAACTTTTCCTCCGTAAGGTAACGATGGATCCCACTCAGGATCTTCAGCTTCTGGTTGAATTAAACGTTGCCTAACTCCTGACGTTCTTAGACTTTCAGCCATGTTTCCTTCAAGTTTCAGCAACAAATTGTTTCAGCGCCATCTATCGATTGTTGCATTAGTTGTCAAGACGACGTCATTCAGGCACCTGTTTTTATTGGAATTTTAATGCAACTGATCAATGGCAATAACTAACAATGTGTAATTTATTTACAACATTATTGATTAATGATTTTTGATCTTTGTTTTTATTAGTTTTTTTTCTTCCAGTGCAAAGACCAGGATTTTTTTTTTATTAAATAAATTATATTTTCCAAAAGATATATGATGTTTATTTTAGCCGACCGCATATAAAATGATTCAGTGAAGTGAACGTTATTAGTGAACCATGGGTTGGACAGCTTCAAAATATAGTACACGGGTCATATCGATTGTTTGCTTATGATACTTATTTCTGGAATAACTTCTTCATCTATGAACCGCTCGATCTCGATCGTGACCAAAAGTTTTGAAAGCCAAAAATATATATCATTATCATACAGATTACTACGAAGCATTTATTGAAAATTAATATGAATTAATGTAAAGGTAAAGTATGTCGACATGAATGAGTACTTATTACACTGAGCTCGAGGTCAATAGGTACTAATATAATATTGTGGCATTATAAATCAAGAGCCACACAAAAAATCTGACGACTAAAATTTATCGTAAGTAGTGCCTATACTGAATTGTGTAAGACTTACGATCAATTTAAGTCGTGAGATTTTTTTGTGAAACTCTGACATTCCAGAGATTGACTATTGAACTAAGATTATACGATATAAACTTCGTACCTCATATATTATACCGTTTTTATTTCGAAAGTAATATATATATCATGAATAGTTTGCAACATGTGTAACGGGAAAAAGGGTGCATGGGGGTATATTTTGTGTTTAAGATATTTTAGTTAATTTTCTTTTATAATAATGTTTCAACTTTATTTCCTTTTCTCACTCTTGTCTATGTATACCATCCCATTATAACGGTAGTGGAAAATCAGAGTTAGGTGACAGCACGTATAAACGGCTACAATTATCGTAAGATTGTATGGACAAATGCAATACAAAATGTAGGTAGGGAAAATAGGATAAGTCAAGTTAGAAAGATTTTTAAAAAAAAAGTCCTTATAAAAACAAAGAGAATCTAGGGGTCGAAGCCAAAAGCGCATGTGGTTGAGGGGGGTTGGGCGGTTAACGAATTTCCTTTTGTGATCTTATCTGCAAAAAATGAGATAAAGAGGCAAAAGGTTTTTCAGGTTATTATAATGGATTTTCCATTATTTGACTGAAAGGTGGCGCGAGCTGAACAGTTTTGTAAAACGGTCCCCTTTTGCTTGTCATTAATTATTGAACCTAGATCTTTATCCATTTTTTTACAATTTTATTTTTGAAATATATTGACATGTTTTATCCTTTATTTATCATGCATATTCAGGCCGAAATCAAATGAAAAAAATAGACAACGATTGTTTTTGGAAACGGAAGCCAGATCTATCGTAACTCGCGTCGAAGCTCATATATTAAACTGAGCATAACGAAATTAGAGATCTATATTTTAATTAGATTGTCAGAACAAAAACATACAAAATCCACTTGTTAAATTTTTAAAACCAAAACCTTCGGGATTTCATCAGGTGGTACTTGCATATTATGATTAATGTTTATATGGCGTAGAAAATACTATGGGATCCCGGAGATATACAACTGTACCATTTACAAACAATATTACCAGCATTCGAACAATACAAAGTTCACTTTGATTCTATCTTCAGTGTTCAGGTAATCACGCGCACCTGATAGCTCGAGGACACTATGCCTAGCTATAGTCAAATAAAGAATTTCCATAAATATATATAAAATCGTTGAAAACAATTCTTCCACAATCTGCAACGTATAATGTATAAGTACTGATATAAGTCTCTCGGCAAGTCAATTACAACCGGAAGTCATGCAGTTCGTCCATCATATACCAAAAATACAAAAGTTAACGTAAAAAAATCTTATAAAATGACGACTTAGTAAAATCATGGAAGTAATATTGAACTCAATATTACTTCCATGGTGAAATCAAAGGGTTTATACTCGCCACTTTTTTTTTTATCTTTTTAGGCTGGTACTATTTTGGGGAGGGGCGAATGTTTATTTAACTGTCTGCCAGATTTTAGTGAAATTTTCAACACTCACATCTGTATATTTCGTAGTGTAAAATTATTTCTATACTGTAGTTTGGAGAAATTTTCAGATTGTATAAATCAGGTTGAATTACTTCGAAAAGGTTAAAAAAAATAAAAAAGAGGCAATTCCATTTTCATATATTGATCTTTAAGCATTATGTTAAATCTTCCATTCAAAGATATACGGATATCGCGCTGTTCAAATATTGAACCTGACTGTATTTTACAAGAAGAATTGTGCTCCGTCAAAAATTAAAGTCTATTGTAGTGACATAATATTTGATTTCGACGAAAATCAATCATTTTGAATGGAATTTACCTATAGTTTACCAGGTTGTCTTCAGTTTTACATTTTCAATATAATTCAGATATGGACGAATTTATCTGACTGTGACATTGCCCGGTTGTTTCCAATTAAAAAAAATGTTTCCTTCTAGTATGGAAAATTCCATTTTGGATTGTTTTGAGTTGTTTTTCATTAATTATTAAGATTTATATAGAATGGAGACTTTGTAAGATGTGACACCACCAAATCGGGCCAAGTCAAAAAAGAACATGCGTCTATTATATGTGATGGCTTGCTTATGGTGGGGGGTTACAGAGCAGAGAAAAAGGGCCAAAAATTTAAGAATAGAAAAAAACGAGGTGCTATAATATAAAAAATATGGAATAATGGGGAAAAAAGAATAGAGAAAATTACCCCAAAAATAAAGAATGTGCACAATTGAAGATCCCTATCCAGAGCCACCTTTATTGTTGAAGACTCGGCATGTCTAGATATCAACACAGATATCATTGCTCTTGTGCCTGATGGACTCTTTTTTTAGGATAATTATGAACCATAACAATAAATTATAAGTTGCAAATATTTTTTCTGAAATTTCTATAAGTTCTTCCATATCTTCACTGAAACAAATGATTTTGGTTTTCAAAGGTGTACACAATCAACAATGCAAATCATTAAAACTTTTTAAAATTGCTTTGCACCAGCAATTTGACGTTTTGCATACTTCATCTGAAAATTTTCCATGTGTAAAAACTTTTTTCAACTTTATTATGATTGCAATGACAAAACTGATGGTATATAAATATTATATTTAGTCCTTCCTGTAGCTCGGTAAATGCGATGAACATTTTCAACTCTCAGTGACTCCTCGACGTAGACGCAGTCATGGTAAGTCTCCGTCATCGACATTATACATCGATCACCTACTCTCCATGATGTCTCTATTAATGACCTATCATTTATACAAAAGCAATTGTGTATTCATCACATTCGTTCGCATGAAGCTTTATCCACTACTCCTTTCAAAACTTCGTCTTCTGTACAACTTATGTTTGGAAACCACTGTTTCAGACAGGTGTTGCAGAACTTCAATATTGACGGCTTCAAGTCTAAACCTCTTGCATGAGTTCACCTGTGCTAGTTCCCCCATTTGTGAACTTTCCATTTCTATGTAGCAACATTGCACCAGCTCCTGCATATGGAGAGTATATATCTCCCAGTTGATTCTATATGTTAGGGCTTGCGTTTCCTATCATGATTTCCTTGATAGAGGTTTCAAGAGCACTGCTCAAAAGGAAGCTATTAAACCAAGAGTTCCAAGTGCATGGTTAATTTGAAATCATCCTTTTGAAAATTTTAAAGTTATCACTGGGCTTGTACTTACGTGAGCAACACTACGGATGCCACATGTGGAACAGGATCTGTTTAACCTTCCGGAGCACTAGAGATCATGTAAAGCAAAGTATTGTCCTATAAAATATTGTCCCTCAAGACAATATTTCATGATTATGTATCATGACATTGTATCCTCATCTATGAAAAAATGTCCAGAGAAGGACAAATTTCATATGTTTAAGGGAGGTTATCCAGCGTTACATTTTTTTATATTAAAACAATATTTCATGGATGGAATGTCATGAAATATTGTCTTATAAATAGGGAGGTTTAATATAAAAATTAATAACTTGGACAATGACATTATCAAAGTGTTTTATTTTATTGATAATAACAAACCTATATTATAAGTGATTGTCAGTACTTTAATTTTTACTTATATTTAAACAGTATAATATGGTACACTTAACATATTTATCTTTAATCATTAATGAATGCAAATTTGGAATTAGCTTATGATAAAATATATGTTTGTTTACTAAAGTTAAATATTTATTTCTTATCAATTATGAATATACATAAAATGGGCATGATTCATGCTTGCGTACCATAGAGAAGAATTATTTGATGCAGCGTTTCACTGTTATACACAAACTGACTTTTCAAGCACAATATTCCAAAGATTTCAGAAACACACTCACAATTTCATGGCGTGTGGATTCCCCAGGGAAGAATAGCTTGATTAGGCAATATTGCCATGGGCAGTAATTCACTGTGAAATATTGTCATGGACTGAAATTCACAGTGAAATATTGTCATGGGCAGAAATTAACAGTGAAATATTGTTCCGGACAATATTTCATGGTGGACATAATTTTATGTTTCGATCAACCCCTTCGGTCTTTGGTGGGGTTCGTGTTGCCCAGTCTTAGGTTTCTATGTTGTGTTTTGTACAAATACAAATATTTTTATTGGCACAAACTCAATAACAATAAATGGTTAAGACCTATTACATACATATAATTATATTAATTGACATGGTAGAATGAAAAGTTATAAGATAACATATCATGATAGAATGAAAAGTTACATATTGATGTTTCATATTAGTTCACTATTTCTTATATTTAGACACTCTGATATGAAAGAGGAAGACAGTCTAAGTAATAATGCTGAGCTATTGTTAATCAATAGAGATATTTTTTTCATAAGTGGTAATGTTACGCTGTATTTTAAATATAACATTTATTTTATTTTCTAATATTTCTCGTTTTGAGGTAAATCTATTGCATTGTAATAAGAAATGTTATTCATCCTCAATTTCCCATATTTTTACAGACAGGACAGTATCTTTCCTCTCTAGGAATGTTAAGATGTCTTCCCCTTTCAATCACTTAAAGAATGTGCACTTATGCATATTTTGCATATTGCTGCTCTATCATTGACATTGTTTAGTGAATCAACATATGATGGTCTCTGACCCATTTCGTAGACTTGACGAAAGAAACTGGGTTTAGAAGATTCCTGTATGTTTGCATTTTGATTTTGCAAGGACTGATCATAACTGAGTACTTGTATACTATTCATGCTATTATAGTTGTTTGTCTTTTGGTCTTTTCCTTTTTTGTCATGGCGTGACAATCATGTCACTTTATTTTCGACTGATGAGTTTAAATGTTCCTTTGTTTTCTTTTTTAAACCTGTCAATATTTATTATTAACATAATGGTTAAACCGAATCATGATTCCAATCTTCAGTTGTTATATTCCGCTGGGGTGCAGGTCGTTTCGTACTGAACGTGGTCGTTTTGTACACAGTCAGTGGCGGATTCAGGGGAGGGGGGTCCGGAACCCCCCCCCCCCCCCCCCCTTTTTTTTGACGATCAATGAATTTGAATGGGGACATATACTTGGAATTTAGATTATAACAGAATATCATGGCATCCTGGCCCAGCCTTTTCGCATCACTGTAAGCCATGAGCCAGGATCCCAGGCTAGGAAAGGAAACCTGCACAATTTCCGGCATAGGTGGCGCGATAACGCTATACTGACGACTTCCGTCTTGAATATTTTTGCCTGGCGTCTTACATTAATCTAAATTAATCGACGTCTAAATTATTTTATTATAATGATAACTACCAGTTTTTAATCGTACAACAACAAATCATCAAAATGACACAGGTATTTCTGGTTTTGCATATTTCAATAACTTCTAACACACTTTAAAAATTTACTACCGGCATGATTTTTTTGTTATGGCGGCTAATTTGTTTTCATCGTGAATTCTTGTTAAGTAGTGACAGTCCCTTTAAAGACATGTATTACAGCAAGGCAGTTAAACATATATTGAAATGTTATTCATGTCGTATAAAGTGTATGCCTATTGTTTTTCTTTTATATATATATCCAAGACGATAGACTTGAGACTAAACCACAGTACAGACGCTTGAGCGCATGGAACCCCCATTTTGTGTTGGATATTTTCGCTGAAGTTGTTTCATCATTTCCTTTTAAATGTTCTTGATCAAGATTAACTCTGTTGTAGAAAATCGTTTTCTTTAACATTGCAAACCACTTGAATTTGCAAGCAGTAATTTGTCAATTTAGGAAATTTGAACAACATCGGTAGCGTGCTCACCTCAACTTCTTGCTCAAGATGTGCGAGAAGACTTAGATATACGGGGTTTTTGGCTTTTCATCTTAGCATTTCAGCATTTATGAATTTAGACGCTAGAGCAAAAACCGATTTATTCAGTGGCCAAATATGTGTTCGCTCTCTGTAGGGTCTTCCTGGGGCCTATCCAAAAGAAACAATTAGTATTGCAGACTCGCTATAATGTATCAGCAATATTCATGCATATTTCAGACTACTAAGATGTCATCTACTTATCGATTGAACCAATGTTAATTTAACATGGTAAAAAAGACAGACAACCAAATGTAATTGTATAGTGACAGTTTTTTTCTAGGGCAGGGTTTGAAATTAGTGGTCGCCCACTCGCCATATGCAAGTGCTTTTTGATGTGGGCTCATAATTATGTAATCTCGTTAGCCCACATGGAGAATGCGCTTGAAAATTATTATTTTTAAAATCCCTTGATTCTTATGATCGGGAGTGTAGTTCATAGAAACTTGTATGTTTACATACATATGTAACTGGAATATGCTCAAATGAACAATAATCTGCTGAAAACCAGCTTAAAACAGTTATGTTTTTCTGAAGCCTGGGATCCTAACTCGCTTTTCGTCTGACGCAAAGCTGAAGTTTGACCTGGAAAGGTTGGTTCCCTTCGTAAAATATTCAGTATGCCTTCGGAATATACAAATACACCGGGGGTACCAGTCTCAAGCCAGGATCACCTAATCAAAAGCTTCGTTTTCACAACTTGGATTTCATTAACGCATGTGTGTCAAACTCTTATGGCTGTTTTGCTTTGTTGGAATGTTATAGTTTCAAACTTCGTTGTAGAAATGTTTTGGTCTGATACATGACCACTGAGGTTATATTCGTCTCAGATGTATGGTAATATTCCTTTCCAATTGCTTGTAAAACACTGTTTCTTTTTGTAAATTTTCCTTGTCTGCCATTGAAATTAATACAAATCAAGGATCAGATACATTTTTGTACGTACCAACTATGAATGAAATCCTTTATATTATTATGAATGACACAGCTGACAAGAATAATGATAAAAAAAGTGAAAAATACACATTCCACACCCTTAAAGAGACATCTGGTTGGATCCCCTTAATTAAATGTATTATATTTCAATGCAAATGCATTGTTTCAATTTATTGATTTTAGTTGCTTAAATTTGTAAAATTTAAATATCTTTTAATTCAATTCAAATCAAATCTTCATTGTCATTACTATACACTACATTTCAGGGGTCGACTTAAGCACTGGCCCGCTGGCCCAAGGCCAGTAGAATTTCGATAGAGCCAGTGGAACATAAAGACTACTGGCCCCATTGGCCATTACATTTGACTATATTTTCACTTAGATAGTATTATTAGGGCAAATTTTATTTGAGTTGGGCCAGTAAATTGACGCTCTAACTGGCCCTATTGGCCATACTTTTAAATTTTGTTAAGTCGACCTCTGCATTTCATAGCATGTGACACAACATAGCAAAATGAAAACAAACCATATCAACAAGATCATTTTTATGCATAATGAAAGTTAATATTTCAAGTCCCCGGTCCTCAGTTCTATAGACTTTTATAAAGGAAACTTAGGTGTTAACACTTCTATTGAGAATCATAATTTCCATTAATTTTGTGGGCTATTAAGATTTACTTTGGGTCCCAAAATCTATTTTACTAGGGATCCACATGACTCCTTGAAAAATAAATAAAGTTCAAACCCTGCTAGGTCTGTTTAAATGATTATGACGTCTTGAATGGCTACTTTATTTTTTTTTGCTGTGAGGCCTTCCTACGACATAACGCTGATGGCGTTTTTCTCCATTGATTGAGTGAGAATTTCTCAAATTTGCCATGAAATCTTCACTGACGGCTTGAAATATTTGCATATATACAAATTATACAAAAACTTTTGTGTGCTTGTTGGTGCAAAGTATTTCCTCAAAAGTAATGATTAGATAAGTAACAATTCCATCCGAGATATTGATGACCTATTTCTTTTTTAAAGTGTTTTCCCAGATTTCCTAAGATCCTTCACTTTGGCAGAGAATAAAATAATTTTCAAACTGAACTTTGTAAAATTTGACTGACCTGAATTTCCAGAATGATCGATTTGTATTATGTGGAAATTAAGTTATTTCTTCATTACAAAAAGAAAACGAAATTAGAAATCTTACTTCATGTCATAATGTGTATTATTTATTTACATGTTAGATATGCAACAGTAATGGTATATATATAGGCCTTGAAGCTATTAAGGTTGTCAAGTTAAATGTCACCCTGACCATTTCAAAATCTGCAGGAAACACTACATCAAAAATAACGCATTGGTATAGATTTCTCTAGAACAGGATAAAGCTATATATCTGAAAATAACTTTCTATTAAACAAATTTTGGTTGCAAAATTGGTGTTAATAAGTAAAATGGATTTATTTTGATAATTCCTGTCAGAAAAGGAGACCATCATGATCTTTAGACACCTTTGTTCCTGTCTTCCAAGAATCATTCAGCAGAGAATTTAGTACTCCTCAGAGATCAGCACCGAAACAGTTAGATAATGGTTCAGTAGCATGTGCTAAGGGGTGTTTCAGTGGATTAATTCCATGTACGGGTATAAATTTTATAGTCTTGCAACAATACTCGTATTATGTTTTCAATGATTGTCATTATTCGTCATAACATAATTATATGGTTGTTTTTCTTTGTAGACTGTAGGAAGGAGTTCTAAGATGTTGCAGCATGTCAACTACAGGATGCGATGCACACTGCAGGATAGCCGTACATTTATAGGAACCTTCAAAGCTTTTGACAAGCACATGAACTTAATTTTGGGAGACTGTGATGAGTTCCGTAAAATCAAGCCAAAGAGTTCTAAAGGAAGCGATAAAGAAGAGAAAAGAGTTTTAGGCTTGGTATTGTTACGTGGAGAACATCTAGTTTCCATGACCGTTGAAGGGCCCCCTCCTGCAGAGGTAAAATACAAATTTATATATTACTGTAGCACAAATTTAAAATATGAGTAAAAGGAGAAGTTGGGGTATACACCAATGAGACACAAAAAACTAGAAGACATGTATACAAATCTGCAAGATGTCAACTTGGCGAATACATTTTATAAAAGTTCTGTGCATTACGATTCAAATTGTACAAATGTAGTTGCCTGAGTGGTCTAACAAATCATTGAAAAGTTTCTATGAAGAATGGTTAAATTTTCCTCGGAAAATGAAAGTGACCTCCCTCAATTCCTCTTACCTGATGCATTAAATTCAAATATAAAGTCGTATTTAATCTATTTTGAATCTAATGGCGCATGTGCTGCTTACAAAATTGGTGAAGGCAGTCATAATTCATGAGTTTTTATCAGTCAGATCTGAAATAGTATGCATTCCATTGAATGATAGTTCAGAAAGGATCCAATGAGAAACATATAGAAATAAGAAGATGTGATATGAATGCCAATGAGACAACTCTCCATCCAAGTCACAATGTGTAAAAAGTAAACAATTATAGGTCAAAGTACGGCCTTCAACATGGAGCCTTGGCTCACACCGAACAGCAAGCTATAAAGGGCCCCAAAATGACAAATGTAAAACAATTCAAACAGGAAAACCAATGGTCTAATCTATATAAAAAACGAGAAACGAAAAACACTGAAGAACCACATCAACAAACGACAACCACTGGAACAGGTTCCTGACTTAAGACAGGTGCAAACAAATGCAGTGGGTTTAAACGTTTTAACAGGTGCCAACCTTCACCCTAACCTGAAATAGTAGTGTAACATAACAACATAGAAAGACACACTATAAAATATCAATTGAAATGCATACATATTCATGTATGTAAATACACTGTACAGAGTATTGTAAATTAATGTAGGTCAGCATTTTATGTGACAAACTCACTCACAAAGCATTTTGGTCTGATTCCAGTACTAGTATTAGTATAATGTAGGTACTTTACAATTTTACTGGACAAACTCGCAATGTTTTATTGTTTTTTGATCAATTCTGTCTTTTATTTTGATGAAACAAGTTAGGAATTACAACAGTACTGCTATGTTTTTAAGTTTTTAAAGGAATCAATAATAAAGAAAAATGTAGGATAAATCAGATAACCATTAACACATTCTCTTTTTGTCTATAACATAAAAAAAAGAGAAATATTTATACAAATAGCCATAGGTGCTTTGAATTGGTAATGCTATGTACATGTGCAAATTCTTTTAAGACATGTCACAAGAGAGTGTAATTGAAAAAAGTTATATAATAGTTACTCTAAATGTAAAATGTATGTATAGATGTTTTCTACAGTGATAGTCATCTATGTACATTCTAAGCAATCAGCTTACTTGGAAATCTTGTCTAAATTGCAAGGTTTTATTTTTTATTCTATTTACAGGAGGGTATTGCAAGAGTTCCTTTATCTGGAGCCGGCCCTGGTCAAGGTATGGGAAGAGCAGCTGGACGTGGCCTTGGTCCAGGTGGTGGAGGTGGACCAGGATTGCAGGGTCCAGCTCGAGGGGTTGGTGGTCCATCCTATCAGAGTATGCAGCCAGGTGGACGTGGAGGTAAATGATTGCTTACAAGGGTGTATAAATAGAGTGAATGATGGATACTAGGCACATGTAATTAAGCTTTCATGCCCCAAAAAATCATGGTTGATATGTTCTTTATTGAATTATCTTGTTTGGTTCATTAATGATCCATATTTTCTATCGTAACCATTTAAGTTGATGAACCTTTTACATGCCCCTGACAAAAAAATAAATAAAATAAAATGGAACCCAAAAAAACCTTGACAGAACAAACTTCTACCACACTTGGGGCAAGGGTAAATTTATGATCCATCTGTCTGCCATGATATGAGCTGGGTTGAAACACAAACAGTTGCATTTTATCTAATTATACTGCCTTTGTGACCAAAGTGCTGAAATGGTTCTATGGTGATGTTTCCCTTTCAGAAGTATGATACCCCTGGCATGATAATTTCATATATTTATTTTTCCAGAATTGTGCATAAAAAACTAGATGAATAAATAGGGACTTCTTGGAGTTTCTTCATATTCTATGTTATTTGTAGACATTTTGTTAAGCATTAATTCTTAATAATTTTTCACTTGCTGTCTTTCAGGACCTCCTCGAGGACCCCCTGGGGGTGGATACAGAGGTGGTGGTGGAGGTGGAATGAGAGGAGGATACAGAGGTAATCATTGTCATTACAATACATATTGACAAGTCCATTATTTGTTTCTATACTTGCCATATCAAAATTGCTTTGACTTGAGACTTAGTGTTGCTCTCCACCTATTGCAGTTCATTCCAATTTCTGACCAAAATTCTATTGTTTTATCAAACCCAGCTGTTCAACTGGTCAGAAATTTAAACCAACTGTTTTAGAAAACCACAGTCAAGTCATCAAAGTGCAAGGTGATAAAATAAAGCATACTTTCAATCCTATAAGACTTGAATTCCATTTCATTGCTATTAGGAAAATGTCTAAACACATCATTTATATTGTAGAGTCATTCGAAAAGTTATAGGTCTTAATTTATTAATACCTATAAAAAAAATCTCCAAATTTAAGTTTTTATGTCCCTGCCGTAGTGGAGGCGTATTAAGTTTTATCCTTGTCCGTCCGTACTTTGTGTTCTCTAACTTAAGTTTGCCTCAACCAAATTTTATGAAACTTATACACAATGCTTATTTTCACAAAACACAGATCAAGTTAGAATTTTGGTGGCGTCACTTTAACCGTTTTAGAGTTATGCCCCTTTACAAATGGAAAAATTGCTGAATTTTTCGTTTCCGTTCTCTAACTCAAGTTTGCCTCAACCAAATGTTATGAAACTTATAAACAATGCTAATTACCACAAAATACAGATCAAGTTTGAATTTTGGTGGTGTCACTTTTACTGTTCTACAGTTGTGTCCCTTTACAAATGGAAAAATTGCTGAATTTTTCGTTTCCGTTCTCTAACTCAAGTTTGCCTCAACCAAATGTTATGAAACTTATACACAAAACTCAGATCAAGTACAAATTTGGGTATTGTCACTTTTACCGTTCTTCAATTATGTCCCTTTATAACTTTATAAGATATTTTTTAATAGTGTTTTTCTATGCATGCCCCAAAGATTTAATAAATACTTGGTGAAATATACATTTAAGCTCAAATATGTTGTCGTTAAGTTTTTTAAAGGGAGATCAGATCAATATTTTAAAAGGTCGACGATTTTATATTATCTCCCATGGAAACATATATATTTAACTGAATATAACATGTTTTAATTAAAACTGAATTCTCATTCATATGAGTACAGAAGACTTTCTAAAAGAAAAATTGTATGAAAGCTTAGTTTCGACATTTTACAATATGGGAAAATGCTAGATCTATTTTGTTGGTCCTGTAAATGCAGTAAAATTTCCTCTTTTCAGAATTGAATTTTAATGGGGTTATCTTGTGTGATTGAAATATGTTGACCTATATAAACAAATTGGTGTATATGCTGTCATGACTTGTGACATGTAGTGGCTGTACTCTCTGTTAGACCTGTTAGACTATTGGAATAACATGACAAAACAATGACCACTTTTATGATCTGTTCTGTAGTGGCAACTCTGAAGTATATATAAATTGGCTGTTAATTTGTTTGTTGATAGACTTCTTAAATTTAAAAGTGCAAACTACTGGGATATTGTTTAATTCATTTAGCATATACATTGATATATATATGTATTCCATAAATAATTGATAGACTTCTTAAATTTAAAAGTGAAAACTACTAGGATATTGTTGAATTCATTAGGCATATACATTGATATATATATACATTTACCATAAATAATTTTATCTACTGATGCTAAAGCAGCACATGTTGATTTCATTTTGTTTATCTTTGTGATTGTAGGAGGTCCCAGATATTAAAAGAAAAGAACACAATCCATGTATGAGAGAAGAGAGAATGTATCAGGACTATCATTTTAAAGACTATTTGTGGACCATTTATAAATCATGTTTTTACTTTTACATGTTTTATGTCAGAGAAATCATCTCATTTCATTTCATGTTGTACATAGTAAAGAAATTACTTCTAAATGTTTGTTTACAAAAGTTTGCCCTTCACCTTTTGTATGGCTAAAGGTCAGTGTCAAATTGTTGGATACCTTTCATATTTTGTCTAATGTGTAGTTGTTCTGACATGTCCCTGTTGTGTTTGGTTGTTTTTTATCTTTTTAAAGCTTTTAGTTTGAGTTTAAGTAATTTTGGTAATACTTAGTCGGATGTTAAGTGGTAGATTTACATTCCATTAAATCTATTGCCATGGGGATATTTTAGCTCTGACAGTGTAACAATCTTGTAAATGTTGGCTTATTAGAACGTTGTATAATTTACACGATTGTTGAATATATTGACTCTTTTTTTTGTAATCTAATTTCAAAATCTTCAAAGCTATAAAGCATATACAGAAACTTGGATTAGCTAATATGATCACCAGATCTACAAATAAGTTAATATGAATGAAATTGTCAATGACTCTTTACAGGATTTGTTGCTCCAAACTCACAATTTTCACAATTTTTTTCACAATGTGAGCTATTGCTATTGCTTGACGTCTGTCTTAAACTTTTTCAAAGATCTTCAATTTCAAAACTTGGGATGAAAGATCCTTATGGTATCTAGTATAAAGTTTGTGTTTTTAGCTCACCTGGCCCTCATCACTTGGCATCCGTCTTCATCTTCTGTTGGCCACAATCATCATTGTGGTATCTATTTTAACAAATATGTCTGATGACCAAGATGGCTGGCATGGCTAAAAATAGAACAGTGGTAAAATGCAAGATTTGTCCATTTTTAAAACCACTATAAATAGAGAAAACTGACTGGCAAAAATGTTGAGCTCTACCTATTGTGCGTTTATGTGAAAACTGTTGGCCAACTTCTTATAGGAGTTATTGCCCTAAAATGACAAATTTTACAATTTTTTATGCCCACGCCATAGCTGAGGGGGCATTAAGTTTTACCCTTGTCTGTCTGTACGTCCCATAATTGGTTTCCTTCTCTAACTTTAGTTTGCCTCAACCAAATGTTATGAAACTTGTACACAATGCTTGTTACCACAAAACACAGATCAAGTACAAATTTTGGTGGTGTCACTTTTACAGTTCTAGAGTTATGCCCCTTTACAAATGGAAAAATTGCTGAATTTTTCGTTTCCGTTCTCAAACTTTAGTTTGCCTCAACCAAATGTTATTAAACTTGTATGCAAGCAGGGGCATCATCTGTGTCCCATGGATACATTCCCCATTTACTTTTGACTTTTAGCTCTTCCTATTGTGCGTTTATGTCAAAACTGTTGGCTGACTTCTTATAGTTGTTGCCCTAAAATGACAATATTTTTTATTTTTGCCTTTTATCTTGAAAATCATAAACAGATAGAAACTTTAAATAGCAAAAATGATCAACAAGATCTTCAAATAAGTCAACAGGGCCGAAATTGTCAGACGAATCCTTATTAGAGTTATTGCCCTTTAATGATGATTTTTGTCGAGCCTTCGACTTCTGTCGCAGAAAGCTCGACAAAGGGATAGTGATGCGGCGGCGTTAACTACTTAAAAGCTTTATATTTTAGAAGATGGAAGACCTGGATGCTTCATAATTTGTATATAGATGCCTTTTGTTATGAAGTTTCCGTCTGCCATATGTCTATTGTCATTGACCTCAATTTCAAGGTTCAGCGACTACTTGAAAAAAAAGTAAGATTTTTTGTAATGCTTATTTCTCTCTTATTATGAGTAATAGGATAACTATATTTAGTATGTGCGTACCTTGCAAGGTCCTCGTATCTGTCAGACAGTTTTCATCTGACCTCGACCTCATTTCATGGGTCAGTGAACAAGGTTTAGTTTTCGTGGTCGTCCATATATCAGATACTATAAGCAATAGGTCTACTATATTTGGTGTATGGAAATATTTTAGGATGTTCATGTCAGTCTGGCAGGTTTTCTATAACCATGACCTCATTTTCAAGATTCATTGCTCAGTGTTAAGTTTTTGTGTTTTGGTCTTTTTCTTAACTATAAGCAATGGGTCAACTATAGTTGGTGTATGGAATGATTGGAAGGTGTATATGTCTGTCTGGCATGTATCATCTGACCTTGACCTCATTTTCATGGTTAAGTTTGTTTCTTGGATACTATAGGCAATAGGTCAACTATATTTAATGCATAGATTGATTCTAAGGTGTACATGTCTGTCTGGCATGGTTCATTGGTCAATGTTAAATTTTCCTGGTTAAGTTTGTTTCTTAGAAACTATAAGCAATAGGTGAACTATATTTTGTGTATGGAATGATTGTAAGGTGTACATGTATTTCCGGTTTGGTTTATCTGACCTTGGCCTCATTTTTCTTGGATCATGTTATAAAAGTAAGTTTATGTGATACTTGTAGTAAAGCTTCATATTTATGACTCAACATAAAATCAATGATCAGTAAAGCAGGCGAGACATTTCAGCATGTGCACTCTTGTTACAAATTTTTCCCGGTTTTGCCAATTATCTTGAAAACTAAAAGATAGATAGACACTTTGTGTAGCAAAAATGATCAGCAAGACGAGAACTACAATAAGTCAACACGGTCAAAATCATTAGTCGATTCATTATTTGAGTTTCTTATAAAAATAAAATGTGGTATCATTTCCAATGAGACAACACTCCAACAGAGCCCAAATGACATAAAAGTTAACAGCTATAGGTCACCGCACGGTCTTCAGCTATGAGCAAAACCCACACTGCGTAGTCGGCTATTGGAGTTCTTGCTCTTTATTGGCGATTTTTACCATTTTTTTCACGATTTTGACTATTATCTTGAAAACTATAAAAGATAGATAGAAACTTTAAATGACAAAGATGATAGTAGATTCTAAATAGGAGGGAGTGTCCTTAAATGACGAATTTTTTATACCCTCTTGTGTTGTGGGCAAAAAATAAAGAAATTGTAAATTGAAAAAATGATTAGCAATACAAGATAAATAGAAAGCGATTTTTGTCATGAAACTTATTCTAGTCTACTGTTGATACAAAATAGGCCTAGGTTAGAGCTCTTTAGAGCCTCTATGTTTTAATTCCTGTCCGTCAACAAACATGGCCACCATTGCTATAATTAGAACATAAGGGTCAACTGTATTAAATGTCATATCTTGAAAACTATAATACTTGTAGATAGAGAAAACCTTGCAGGGCGGGCTAAAATGCTTAGAATGTCGAGATCTACCTACTTCCTGTCCAAAAATATCAGATGACTTCTAAAAGGGTGTTTCTAAAAGAAGGAATGGCTACAATTTAAACATAAATTTGAAATACGATTCTTTTTGTTTCAAGTATTGATATAAGCGGAATTTTGAAATAATATTTCGTTATAAGTAGTCAGTTTGGCCCAAACTTGTCCAAATAATCACAAAAACTTAGCTTGATGTATTGCAAGTCAATAATTTAACCCATTAGCTAAAGATAGGTCACAGTATGCATGTATTAGGCGTGTTCAGCTATTAAAAGGAAGAGAATGTCAACATTGACAGTGGAACACAAGTGAACCATTTTGTTGACTGATTCGATCCACAAAAAATCATTCTTATGCAGGTAAAACGATGAGTAACATATTTTTAAACGACCGAAACATTTTTGCGGCCGTATTAATGATATGGCGATGTCGTGGTTGTCCGAAGACATTTGGTTTCCAGACAATAACTTGTGTATAAGTTTATTGATCTCTATGAAATTTTACCATATGGTTCCATACCTCAAAAGGAAGGTTGGGATCGGGCAAAAAAACAAGGATTTTGGTTTCCGAACAATAACTTTAGTATAAGTCTATGAATCTCTATGAAATAGTACCACAAGGTTCCATACCAAATGGAAGATTTTATTTGATTTTGGGAGAACTAGGGGCCAAAAAATTACTTTTCTAATACTTTGTATAAATTGCTTATTTCTTGACCAATTTCAATGGGGTTTAATTCAAAGTCTTGATTTTTTTTGGTTTCTTTATTATGCTGAATCTAACCGTGTATTTGGATTTGGACCCCGTTTTTAAATTGGTCCACAATAAGGTCCAAAATTAAACTTTGTTTGATTGCAACAAAAATAGAATTCTTGGGGTTCTTTGATATGTTGATTCTAAACATGTGTTTAGGTTTTTGATTTTGGGCCCTGTTGTAAAATTGGTTCACAGGGTCCAAAATTAAACTTATTTTGATATTAACAAAAACGAATTCTTGGGGTTCTTTGATATGTTGATTCTAAACATGGGTTTAGATTTTCGATTTTCGGCCCAGTTTTCAAGTTGGTCCAATTCGGGGGGTCCAAAATTAAACTTTAAAATTAAAAATAAATAATATATGGGGTTCTTTGATATGCTGAATCTTACCACGTATTTAAATTTTGGATATTGGCCCCCGTTTTCAAATTGGTCAACATTGAGGTCCAAAGGGTCCAAAATTATACTTTGTTCGATTTCATCAAATATTGAATTTTTGGAGTTCTTTGGTATGCTTCGAACAGCGGTCGTACCAAGCTGCGCCCTGTGGAGCATTTTATTTTAACCTATAATATGAAATCAAACAGATATATAGAAAAATCAAATTGCACGTGGTCGCTATATATTTATATTTATGTTTATATCGGGTAATATGACCGTCCGCAGTTTTTGGAGGTCATCTCGATGGTTAATTAGATGGCGTCTAGACTAAAATACACACGAAATGCTGATACATATTATCGCGAGTCCATGCATTGCTAATTGGTTATTCATACTTTTTAATTTGGATATTCGTTTTAGGTATGTTATAAATCGAATAAGAGAATTTGAGTCAAATAGATAAACAAGAATTTGACAGCTCATGCCCCTTAAAGGAATTGTTGCCCTTAAATGACAATTTTTGGCTATTATTCATGTTTTTGCGTATCATATTAAAACTATTAAATAGAGAAAAAACTGTTGACATAGAGATATGTCTCGCCTTTTTTAATTTTAGTAGAATAATGCAAATATTGAACCCAAAAGGCAATATTTAAACATGTTGACTATGCAAAACATTCAA